TCACTAAAACGTTACTTAATTTTTACTTCCGCATATATATGAACTTTAATGACTTCCAGTAAATGGTACTCCACTTTTATCATGAAAGATAAACTTCGTTGTATTATTTAATTATTTTTGTAATAATCGGGCTAGGATTTGATTTTAAAATAAACTGGTTAACTAACATGCTGACCAAATCACTATAAAAATGTGATTTTGCTTTCCTTAAAAGTCACATCTGCTCTGTAATCCATTTGTAACCTTGGTCATAGAAATTAAATTGGCTGCTAACTCGGGAATCATATTAGTGCTATTATTTACCCCGAAATTTAGCCAATGTTGCGGAACGTATGCATACCCCATAACTTATTTTGCATTATAGCTTTGTAGTTTAGTGGTCAAGTAATTGCTATTACTTTTCACGTTGTCTTCATTCTTTTTTTTGACTAAACCTCGTAGCAAATATTTCTGCTACTCTATTCAATAGTAATGGAGCACTTTTATCCCTAGTTGAAGTCGTAGCCTTCGTCGGCCCTTGATTAGAACATACTTCTTGAGTACAAGGCTCAGTAGAATTTTATTGCAAAAGCAAGAACTTTATTTACTTTATCGAAAGTAAATTAATTTTCATGCGCCTAGTCAATCAACTGGTCCTTGGAGCGCCTTTCACGTTAAGCAAGGTTCAGTGATAATTGTAACCCACTATTCACAAGCTGTTCATCTTTTTCTCCCTGTTTACTTGCCCTAAAATCTACTTTTGCATCAAATAGATCTGCAAGATGAAAGAGTGCCTGTTTTGCTGACTTATTTGACTGCATTCTTTCTTATTTAATTTCTATTATTATATTTCTGAATATTTAATTTACTGTATCAATGCTCTATTCCCCTTTCCCCTTTCAGAGCGAACTACGCGGATTTGTCTGTGAATCCTTTAGAAAAGACTGCTCGAGTCTGGTCCTTGCGACGCAATATTTTCGACCGACATGCCCGAGTTTTATATGGCATTAATGTGGAAGAATATCTTAACTGGATGGTTGAATCTGCCACCATTTCCTCCTCTTGCTCCAATAACTCGGATGTGATCAATTCTGGCGTGACAGACGATGCGAAGTTGCTCGGTCCTAAGCGAACGACAATTGTTTCCTCGCTATTATCATGTCCTCTTCATCCATTCGTTAAGTTCTTGGCGCCCGATTTGGTAGGCAGACTCCCATCAAGCACATCTTTATTATTTTTTTTCTCACGATCCCTACTTCTTTTATTGTCATATTTACCTTTTTAGCCAGTCAAAATCTGTCTTAATTAAGTTATATTTTCTTATCGAAGGTATGAAGACCAAGATTGTGTGGCCATTTGTATGGTTGCAGTCTTCTTTCGTTGTATTTAAGTTTTTTGACCTTGTATCCGCAACTTAATCATACTGCTAGGAAGACTTAGAGGAGTCCTTTGTATGCATGATAGTTTCCAGAGTCGGACCGTGGACGTGGTACATTCCCAGACGCTTCACCGGCATCGTCAATGGGCATTGCCAGTCTTAGCACCACACTACAACTCGTCAGAGACAAGTGAAGCCGATCCTTTAACCAATTGTCTGCTAAACAATCGTAGTATCTCTCCTTCTGCCCTGGACTAATCACCAATCCTATATCGTCGTATCACGCCTTCACTATCACAATTTTTACTTGCTTATTTAATCTTTTGTATGGTGTGCTCTTCACAGTCCATGCTGGCTTTTTTAACCCCTCATCTCCCTTACCCCTTGTGCAGGGAATGTTGATTAGTCTGCCCTATTGTTACGCAGTCCTCCCTCCATAGGTCCTATCAGAGTCTCCCTCTTGCTCCATAGGATCCGTCTGCTATCTAACTGGTTCAAATATATTCACTCGACTCCTACAACCCCATCTGTGCTCCAGGAGGCGTAATTTCACACACTGCCTCTGGAAGACTAACTCGAATCTAAAGCCCCCGAGTAATTCTAATGATCAAACTAAGGTCGCGGTCCGACTCTGGAAATTATCATGCATACAAAAGACTCCGGACTAGGTGTGTTCCTCTAAGTCTTCCCACCAATATGACCACGTTGCGAAAACAAGGTCAAACAATTTCTCCATTATATATTCATTTTTTCCGACCTTTCATACAGCACCTCCTTAAACTTCCTTGTTGTGGGTCATTTTGGTCATTTCACTTTCCCTTAGATTCTATTTCTTTTTCGTAGGAATTACTCACCTTTTGTAATACCTTCCTTTGACTTTGGAGGGCAAAATAAAAACAGTTTTTTTAAATCCCTGTAGACTGGGAATCTAGAAGTTTCAAGGGTTAATTTGACCTTGAGCTGCATTTTAACCGTTTATTTCAATAAATTTCTTTGTTTTCTCGCAGCCTTCTAAACCGAAATCACTTTGGGCCTTTCGTCTGTCAAACCCTGTTTTTTCTATAAATCCTCAGAAGTAGAAATTTTACCAAAATACCTGAATATTTATTTATTTATTTGAAATAAAATGACTTTTTTCTTTCCATCCCTCTTTCATATTATTCCTTAAGCTTCTTTATAGAGACATGGCTTTGTATATGAGTCACTATCGGAATGACAATGTCTTATTAAAATGCCAAATCCAGACGAAATACCACAATGCTCACCACAGCTTGAAGAAGTCAATTAACAAGCTTGATTTGCAGTTACATTCTTTTATCGACTTTATTCATTTCTTTTTTGAAATTATTTAATCCATACTGTGATCGTCGAAATATACCTATATGCACATACACATACAAAAGGTGTACGGAAATATATATCGGTATGACATAAAATAATTACATCATACTATCTCTCCCAAATTTATTTTGTTTTAACTCTATATTGCCATTAGGAGTGCGCCGATTATTTTTTTACTTAGTGATCGTCTTGTCGGATTATGCCTATAATATGACATTAAAGATAAAATTCCGTACGTCTAAATGCAAACAGATAAGGATGTCTTGAGAATTGCATCAGCCAAAACGTTTATATAAATTTAAGCTACCTCAAACTAAAAGGAATCCGCCTTCACTTTCTGGTAAGATCCTTCCACAAATCTACTTACTATTCCTTCACGCCAAGTAAAAATCAGCTCAACATTGAAGTAACAAGCTGTTCATCATAAAACTGCTACCTTTCTTTTATTTCCTCTTAGATTTGATGCATTCATTCTCAAACCATAAAATATTCTTTAAGGTTTCCTAGCAATTTGTATTTCCTAATCCTCTTTTTTTATCATTCTGGCACTGCAAACTCATTCCAAACTTCTAAGAACTTCGAGGATGTAATGCCAGAATTGATGGCCTCCCCAGACCGTATCTACCTGGAGCGTTTTCTGAATCGGGGAACTTTTGGATCAGTTTTTGCCGGAAAGTTCACCTCTTCGGTTAAATCTGCTTCATGCGGAATTGAATTGGTAATTTCATATTAAATACTTGGAATTTAGCTCACTTGTTTTAATGTAACATTTTTTATTACCTCTGCTTAGTCCATAATTGCAACAGTCTGCAATTTGAAACAGAGGACCTATTTGGTGTTATATCATATTCTAGTTACCTACGCACGTGAAAATGGGGAAAGCTCAGCAGAAGATTAGAGATTCAATATAAATTTTAAATTGAATTACCCCCTGATATGAATAAATGAGAGTAGGAAACTGAGCGAAAGCTAACTCTGGTTAGGAGCTGGAACAATGAAGATTGTGCAAGACGAAGCAAAAGGAGAAGATTTTAATACTTGTTGGTCTGGGTATAACTCGCAATTCAATCCAATAGTATTCACTCCGCACACATCTAGCAACATGTCAGAATTCATCCTCGTCTTTATAACTTGATCGTGTTGTCAGGGAGGACTCAATAAAAACACCTTTTCCGCAGTCCTCTACCAGCCTCGGACCGCAGACTTGCTACATTCTCAGAAGTTCCACAGGCCTCGTAGTCGACATCATTTTTGAGATTCCCAGTACAAAGCTACAATTCATCAAATTGATAGGTTACTTTCATCTCCTGATTAACTTTCTGCCGAACCGTTGTACCTCTCCTTCTGTCCTGGTATATTCACTTATTCCTTATCTTCGTATTTCATCCTTTATTTACAATAACTTCTAACATGTTTACTCTAGGTTACTCCAGGACTGGGCCATTTTTAATGAATTTGTTATACATAATCACACTATCTGTTAGTTTCCACTTCCACTGCCCTACACCATCTCGGCCTCCATGACTTTGATCAGAGAAAATTCATTTATTCCACATATTGGTACTATGTATGATTTCTAATTGAGGGTAATATTGAAGATATGACGACCAAGATGGTGTGGCCTTTTGTGTGGTCGCAGTT